ATAAAGAAACCCCAAAATATATTCCAAAAATCTCTTATAAAAATCAACAACAGAGCAAACAATCAGTAGCAAACAAAAGTGACCCAAAATCCGCATGATCTTCAGTCCAAGTTTGAATCACCAAACTCAACATCACACACATAAACCTATTGAACTGATCACCACAAATATATGTTTATGAATGTATCTCTGTTCTGTAGACTGTAACCCACTAGACAAAGGATGAGATAAAAAGAAGTATGGAAAGACTGACCTTGTTAGAGTGAAGAGCGAGAGAGAGAGAGTGGTGGATGGGGGAGCGAGAAGAGAGGCGTGAAGTTCGAGGCAAACGAGGCGTTATCAGAGTCAGAGCAATGGGGAGTGGGATGAGAGAGATGGCTGAAAATGCCGTTTGAGAGGGAAGGGCAACGCTGGAAAGAGTGTAATAATATGTGGGGGCAGTTTGGTAGTTTTGAAACTTGTAGAAGATTCTGTCCGATTGTGATTTTGATTGATGTTCTCTCGCTCCACAAGGACATGTGTCATTTTATGGCGCGCGTGGCAAATCTTCTGAGTCGCCTTTATTTTATTTATTTATAATTAAAAAAATACATATATTGACTTAAAATACGAATGGTTGTTTGTGATTTTGAAAATCATAAGGTGCCGTTTGGTAACCTTACGTTTTTTAATTTTCTGTTTATATTTATAAAAAAATTAAAAAACTCAAATAAAACTTGTTTGGTAAAATTTTTGATTTATAAATCAGTGGTCTCAGTTTATAAATTTGGCCAAAAAATGAAAACACAAAAAATGTGTTTCCATTTTGAGTTTTCAATTTTTTTTTTTACCACCTAACACGCCACCCCCGTCACCATTTTCCACCACCGTCTTCCCTCCATCCACACCCACTGCCACCCACTCACCACCCACCACCCGCCACCACTACCACACCAGCCACCACCACCACCCACGCCACACACATTGCCACACACCACCCACCTGCCATCCACCCGCCACCACCTACCTCTCACCACTACCATCCAGCCCGCTACCACCACCTGCCACTACCACTCACCACCCACCTACCACCACCATCCACCACCTGCCACCACCAGCCACCTGCCACCACCTGCAACCACTACTACCACCCGCCACCACCACACCACCCACCACTCACTCGCCACCCATCTACCACCATCACCCACCACCCACCACCACCACCACCACCCACTCGCTACCACCTAGCATCCGCCACCGTCACCCATCCACCCACCACCACCATTAGGGATGGCAATTTGAAACCGGCCGACGGGGATCCCCGATCCCGACCCGATTTAAGCGTTTTTTCCCGAAAAATACCCCGACGGGGAGGTGACGGTATTTGAAAATCAATCCCCGACCTGTCACGGGCCGGGGACGGTGATCAGTGTTTGATCCCCGGCCGCCCGATCCCGCGCCCCCGCCCCCGTCCCCGGCCCCATCCCCGAAATGAAATTACTTTTATACCCTTTATATGTGTATATATAACAAACCCCTTAATTATATGCATATATATATATATATAATATATCAATGATACTAATCCTTTCTGACTCTACTCTATCTCTTAACCTTATCGTTCTCTTCTCTCTGGCCCCGAGTCCCTGACCCCCTCTCTCTCTCACTTCGTCTCTCTCTATTCTATCTTCCCTCTCTCTCTTTCAGTAGATCGAAGGACAGTCGGCTCGGAGGCGATAACGAAGGGACAGTCGGCGTTGGAGGCAGTCGACTCGGAGGGAAGTAGTCCGATCAGTACAGGGGAAGCGTCGGCGTCGGAGGCAAATCTCAGATCTGTTTGTGACACAGATCTCTTCTCTTCTCTCGTCCACTCTCTCTCTCTCTCTCTCTCTCTCTCTCTCTGTGACACAGATCTCAGATCTGTTAGCTGTTTGTGTCCATTTTTTAATCTTTTGTGTATCTGTCCATTTTTTTATTTTTTGTTTATAATCTGTTGATATTTTTTGTTGATATGTGATTGGTGTTGATGATTTCGATTGATGATGATTCTCTTGTTGTTATCTCTCTGTCTTGTTTGATATTTTTGTGGAATCTGTCCATTTTTATATGTGTTGATGATGTTTCTGCTTGTTGTTGTTGTTGATGATGGGGGTGTTGAAACAGATTTGGGGGCGGGGAAATTTTCGGGGTCGGGGAAACCCGATCCCGGTAGGGACGGGAGGGAGGTGTAGGTTCCCGTCGGGGATCGGGCGCGGGCCGGGGAATTTCTTCACAATCGGGATGCGGGAAGCTGGGAGGGTGATCCCGCCCCGCCCCCCCGTTGCCATTCCTAACCACCATCCCACACCGCCACCCACCACCACTCGCTACCATCTACCACTGCCACCGTCACCCACCACACCACTACCACCCACCCGCTATCTACCCCGCGACCACCCAGCACCACCACCATCCGCCACCCACCGGCCACCATCAGCCACCACTCGCTACCACCTTACCACCCGTCACGCAACCCACCCACCACCACCCACCACCCCGTTATTCGCCACCTACCCTGCCACCGTCACCCACCATCCGCCACCACCACCACTCAAAAAATGTGTTTCCATTTTGAGTTTTCAAATTTTTTTTTTACCACCCAACACTAGCCACCACCCGCCACCCCCCCCCCGCCCCCCCCCCACCCACCATCACCCCCCACCCCCCCCCCGCCATCCGCCACCCACCTGCCACCACCACCACCCCCCACTTGCTACCACTCACCACCCGCCACCATCACCCACCCACCACCACCACCACCACCTGCCACCACAATCTACTCGCTACCACCCGCCACCTGCCACCGTCACCCACCCACTACCACCACTCACCCACCACCACCAACTACCAACCGTGACCACTTCACTACAACATATAAGACTTTTAGCGACCAATTGTTTTTGTCCCTAAAACCATTACTTTAGTCTCTAAATACTTTTTGTGACAAAATTATATTCGTCACCAAAAACGTCAATAAAAGTGCGTCCAGGAAAGTTATTAGCGACTGATTTTCAAAAACATCGCTAAACATGACAATTGGCGACCAATTTTACACTGCCACAAAATGTTTAATTTTGCAAAACTAAAACACTTCGTCGCTAATACTTCGTCACAAAATGTCCCTCTTTGGTCACAAAATACAAAATAGTGACATTTTTAACAACAATTATTTTTGGTCGCTAAAGGATAAATGACTCTCTACCATATATTTTCGTCACTAAAAGTCAGTTTAAAAACATTTTATAACCATTTAATTTGATAGCTAAAAATTCACAAAAATTAAATTTATCATCCAACCATAAAATTATAAAAATAAAAAGAAAAAAAAAATTGACATTCACACATCAAAGCATTCTATTCCCAAACTACAATGAGTACATAAAAAGTAAAATTTTACAAAAATTTAAACGAACAAAATTACTTAAATATTACTAAACAAGATTACATAAACGAACAAAATTACTGAAATATTACTAAACAAGATGACAGCTACCTCAATTATAGTATGTAAAATCTCTTTCAGAATCTTCGGTTACAGTTTATGTTGGCACTCTAACCAGCAATCATCAGGAGAGAAGAAAACAATATCGATAAGAACTACAAAACTCTGCACGGATTCAGTGCAACGGGCTTATCTAATACAAACCACTTAGAAAATATCATTCAGTGTTTGCAGACTACAACCCTGTGGTCAGCAAAAACAATATAACAAAGATGAAGGTTAGTGACATCTCATAGAAACACATTGAAGGGGAAAAAAATTAATTGAAGAATATGTGGCCGTCGTCACGTCGTCACGTACAAGAACATTTTCTGGTTTAAGGTTGCAGTACACAACTCCCAACATGTGCAGATACTCGAGTGCCAAAAGAACTTCTGCAGCAAAGAACCTGGTTACATGAGGAAAGACAATAATTATGACCCTTGTTCACCGGAAAATATTAATACAAATAAAACAAGAATTACAAAAACAATATAGTAACACTGTGAGCAGACGGTCTTCATTTTTTTCAGAAGCTTCCTTTGTTATTAAGTTGTTTGCTTCTTGAAGTCCATAGCCCAACAATTTATAACTTCTAACAGCCACAAAATGCACACATTAAATCACACGATTTCCTAAAACATATGTAATGGTTATCAAGAAGCACATCTCTTTGGTCCAAAAAGTTCGGTTTCATCATGCAAATACAATAATGCACAGCTCCTAAACTACAGCTCGCAAGGCTTAAAACAAAAACATGAAATAACATAATATGCATGTTTTACAAATTGAGAAAAGCATAGTAATTGTCATCTTGGGTTCTATCAACCAATTTGTTTTTCATATACTGAACAGGAAAACAGATACAGCTAGGATACAGCCAGATACCTTATGGACAAGTTCAGGATACTTCTGTAAAATCTTTTATTTAAAATTCTAAAAACAGAGGCAACAGCACAAATAAGTCAAATTACGTGCACCTCGAATGATTCCAGAAGACCAATCCCACCACCTACTTGCGAGGGCCCCATTTAAAGCCAAGGCAATGCCCTATATGGACATGGCCCCATGGAGCTTATTGCTATTAGTGGATATTGAATCTGAGACTTGGAGGGGGCACACTCCCAGACCTCAAGTTATACCCACTAGGCCAAACCCTTGAGGTTTACATGCTTATTTCTACACCATATGTAACTCAAACTTCTAATTAACATGCATAAGACAGATCTCTTATGCATGTTGTTTGGGGTGAGCAAAAGACCTACGATTCCACTCACCCAACTAACATGCATAAGACAAATTTTGTCATTCTCTTCTCCGCGCTAACCTCATGACTAAAATTTCCTTAGAGGATATCATGAAAAGAATGCAATAAGAATTGCTAAATACTTCACGAATTTAGCAAAAATAAAAGAAAAACCATTGACAGGATAACAAATTACAACAAAACAACCCAAAGGCATAGGGTATTTGGAAGAAAAAGAAAAAAACCTTTTTGTACAATTCCATGAGGTTGGACTCTTCAAATGGCAGAAAGCCTGCAAATAGTACAAAAAGTATTACACCGTACGACCATAGATCTGCTTTAGCTCCATCGTAGCCTTTATTCTTAATCACCTAGACAAGTAAACAACCAAAGTGATGAGGACAATAAGTGTGGTTAGGAAGAGATAGATATGTTAAATTGCATTAAACACTATACCATACTTCAGGAGCAACATAATTTGGTGTTCCACAGGTCGTGTGCAGTAACCCATCTTCCTGAATGAAGAGTTCAGAAACTCAGTTTTAAACATGTGTAATGGTCGCCACACTATCATCAAGAGTTTAAACAATGCAATACTGTACGTATAGATAAAATAAACGAAGCGTTGCCCCTGAAACTTTGACACAATTTTTACTACTAGGATGCAGATCAATTCCCCCCCCCCCGGGCGACTAGTAGGATGCAGATGAGAAGTACTAGACAGGAAGCTGTCACATACTCGAACTTGCTGAGGTAGAGCGCTTAATCCAAAATCTGAAACTTTGAGGACTCCATTTGCAGAAATTAAAACCAAGAGTCAGTGATTTTCTCACCTTCAGATCCCTATGAAAGACACCTCTGCTGTGGCAGTAATCCACCACATTTATGAGCTGCTGAAAATACTTCCTTGCTTCATCTTGTTTCAACCTCCCTTTACTAGACTGCCTCAAAAAAACCGTACAAAATCCAACATGGTCACCAATTGTATGGAACAAGATTTTCATGAGAATCAATGCATTAAATCAGAAGCAATCAAAGCCTTACAATTTTGTCAAAAAGTTCGCCATGAGTCTCTAGCTGCAAAGTTGCACGTAATAGTTTAGCCACAAGGCATTGATGCGATGTATAAATTAATGAAATCATGAATAGTTGCAAATTTGAAGCAATAGAAAATCACATTAAATTTAAGAAGCAAACTACAGAAATTATATTTGCTTTAGAGTCGAAAATACACATGGAGGAGTGTATACCTTGGTTAGAATGATGTCAAGAAGCTCCATCTTTGCTTTAGAGTCGAAAATCTTAGTTTGATGACTGGAATTTATTCGATAAAAACAACGAAATCAGATTATTTTTTTTATACAGAAATTGAGAGTAAAATTAATGAAAATGCAATATATTAATGAAAAAACAGAAAAAGTTAGATCATATACTTGAGATGCCATCTCGAAGGTCTGAATTGGTCGTTTACGGAGGGATTCAAGATACACAAATAAAACCAAACACCGATTCATCGAGGTTTACGGAAGAAGATGGAGTCAGATGCAAAAATCGAGACCCCGCTAATCTCCCTGCACCGATTCATCTTCTCTTCCAGTTCACAGATCCAAACACCTGCACACTAAAAAAATTCTGCCATATATATATATATATACATTACACAGAGAGAGAGAGAGAGAGAGAGAGAGAGAGAGAGAGAGAGACCTGAGCAAGAAGGGGTGCTGGTGCGGAAACGAAGAGGGAGAGAGGATAGATCTGCGTTGGAGTATGAGATCGATCATGAAGATGAGATCCATCATGAAAATGAGATCGATTGAAGCTGAAGATCTTAGATCTCCATTAGAGTCTTAGACAGAGCCCTAGACAGAGAGAAGAGAGAACAGATCGAGAGCATGCAGTTGACAAATTAGGGCGTGAGGATGAGATTTTATTTGCCTATTATTGAGACGACCTAAATTTGGTCTCTGAAAGTCAACACACATTAGTAACCAAATATATTGGTTCCCAGTTCTTAACCATATCAATCAAGCGCGGATCAACTGGTCAAATACGGTATATATCCATCTCATAGAAGTAATATGGAGGGTTTGTATGGCTTTTTTTAAAAAAATTCATTTTTGTCCCTAAATGATGACTTTTAGAGACCAAATTTAATTGGTCTCTAAATATTAGTCTCTAAATCACTAATTTCTTGTAAGATTATAATTATTCTTCCATAAAACAAAGTCGCATAAAAATTTTAAGATTATAATTAATTGGTGCCCCTCCTACATTAAATTCTTGACTCCGCCATTGTATACTCATATATAAATTTACAGTAATAAATTTATTGATTACAAATTTACAGATTTACAGTAATAAATTTATTGATTACAAATTTACAGATTTACAGTAATAAATTTATTGATTACAAATTTACAGATTTACAGTAATAAATTTATTGATTACAAATTTACAGATTTACAGTAATAAATTTATTGATTACAAATTTACAGATTTACAGTAATAAATTTATTGATTACAAATTTACAGATTTACAGTAATAAATTTATTGATTACAAATTTACAGATTTACAGTAACAAATTTATTGATTACAAATTTACAGATTAACAGTAATAAATTTATTGATTACAAATTTACAGATTTACAGTAACAAATTTATTGATTACAAATTTACAGATTAACAGTAATAAATTTATTGATTACAAATTTACAGATTTACAGTAACAAATTTATTGATTACAAATTTACAGATTAACAGTAATAAATTTATTGATTACAAATTTACAGATTTACAGTAACAAATTTATTGATTACAAATTTACAGATTAACAGTAATAAATTTATTGATTACAAATTTACAGATTTACAGTAACAAATTTATTGATTACAAATTTACAGATTAACAGTAATAAATTTATTGATTACAAATTTACAGATTTACAGTAACAAATTTATTGATTACAAATTTACAGATTAACAGTAATAAATTTATTGATTACAAATTTACAGATTTACAGTAACAAATTTATTGATTACAAATTTACAGATTAACAGTAATAAATTTATTGATTACAAATTTACAGATTTACAGTAACAAATTTATTGATTACAAATTTACAGATTAACAGTAATAAATTTATTGATTACAAATTTACAGATTTACAGTAACAAATTTATTGATTACAAATTTACAGATTAACAGTAATAAATTTATTGATTACAAATTTACAGATTTACAGTAACAAATTTATTGATTACAAATTTACAGATTAACAGTAATAAATTTATTGATTACAAATTTACAGATTTACAGTAACAAATTTATTGATTACAAATTTACAGATTAACAGTAATAAATTTATTGATTACAAATTTACAGATTTACAGTAACAAATTTATTGATTACAAATTTACAGATTAACAGTAATAAATTTATTGATTACAAATTTACAGATTTACAGTAACAAATTTATTGATTACAAATTTACAGATTAACAGTAATAAATTTATTGATTACAAATTTACAGATTTACAGTAACAAATTTATTGATTACAAATTTACAGATTAACAGTAATAAATTTATTGATTACAAATTTACAGATTTACAGTAACAAATTTATTGATTACAAATTTACAGATTAACAGTAATAAATTTATTGATTACAAATTTACAGATTTACAGTAACAAATTTATTGATTACAAATTTACAGATTAACAGTAATAAATTTATTGATTACAAATTTACAGATTTACAGTAACAAATTTATTGATTACAAATTTACAGATTAACAGTAATAAATTTATTGATTACAAATTTACAGATTTACAGTAACAAATTTATTGATTACAAATTTACAGATTAACAGTAATAAATTTATTGATTACAAATTTACAGATTTACAGTAACAAATTTATTGATTACAAATTTACAGATTAACAGTAATAAATTTATTGATTACAAATTTACAGATTTACAGTAACAAATTTATTGATTACAAATTTACAGATTAACAGTAATAAATTTATTGATTACAAATTTACAGATTTACAGTAACACTTTGAACCCGTAAAACCCCTAATCAAAATGTTCTATCAACCACTTCAAAATACATATATATAAACAGGTATATTCAAATGTATCTAAATGCAAGTATACAAAACCTAAATTAAAAATAATTAAAAAAAAAACGCAACATCTTTTTTGTGTTTATTTTTTTCAGCCTTATTTACAAACTACGATTAACTATTTATAAACTAAAAAATATATACGCTAATTTGTAAAATTTTTGTAAAACTAAGATTAACTATTTATAAACTAAAAAACTATTTCTGTTGCACTACAACTAAAACCACATTTATACGGGAAAGCTTTCATGTTCTAGAGTTTAGGGATTAAAATCCTTTTCATTTTACACTTTTCTCAACAACCAAACAAAGCATCTAGAAAATACACATGGAGTAGGAGTGTACACCTTGGTTAGAATGATGTCAAGAAGCACCATCTTTGCTTTAGAGTCGAAAATCTCAATTAGATGACTGGAATTTATTCAATAAAAACAATGAAATCAAATTGTTTTTTATGCAGAAATTGAGAGTAAAATTAATGAAAATGCAATATATTAATGAAAAAACAGAAAAAGTTAGATCATATACTTGAGATGCCATCTCGAAGGTCTGAATTGGTCTTTTACAGAGGGATTCAAGATACACAAATAAAACCAAACACCGATTCATCGAGGTTTACGGAAGAAGATGGAGTCAGATGCAAAAATCGAGACCCTGCTAATCTCCCTGCACCGATTCATCTTCTCTTCCAGTTCACAGATCCAAACACCTGCACACTAAAAAAATTCTGCCATATATATATATATATACATTACACAGAGAGAGAGAGAGAGAGAGAGAGAGAGACCTGAGCAAGAAGGGGTGCTGGTGCGGAAACGAAGAGAGAGAGAGAGGATAGATCTACGTTGGAGTATGAGATCGATCATGAAGATGAGATCCATCATGAAAATGAGATCGATTAAAGCTGAAGATCTTAGATCTCCATTAGAGTCTTAGACAGAGCCCTAGACAGAGAGAAGAGAGAACAGATGGAGAGCATGCAGTTGACAAATTAGGGCGTGAGGATGAGATTTTATTTGCCTATTATTGAGACGACCTAAATTTGGTCTCTGAAAGTCAACAAATTTATTACTGTAAATCTGTAAATTTGTAATCAATAAATTTATTACTGTAAATCTGTAAATTTGTAATCAATAAATTTATTACTGTAAATCTGTAAATTTGTAATCAATAAATTTATTACTGTAAATCTGTAAATTTGTAATCAATAAATTTATTACTGTAAATCTGTAAATTTGTAATCAATAAATTTATTACTGTAAATCTGTAAATTTGTAATCAATAAATTTATTACTGTAAATCTGTAAATTTGTAATCAATAAATTTATTACTGTAAATCTGTAAATTTGTAATCAATAAATTTATTACTGTAAATCTGTAAATTTGTAATCAATAAATTTATTACTGTAAATCTGTAAATTTGTAATCAATAAATTTATTACTGTAAATCTGTAAATTTGTAATCAATAAATTTATTACTGTAAATCTGTAAATTTGTAATCAATAAATTTATTACTGTAAATCTGTAAATTTGTAATCAATAAATTTATTACTGTAAATCTGTAAATTTGTAATCAATAAATTTATTACTGTAAATCTGTAAATTTGTAATCAATAAATTTATTACTGTAAATCTGTAAATTTGTAATCAATAAATTTATTACTGTAAATCTGTAAATTTGTAATCAATAAATTTATTACTGTAAATCTGTAAATTTGTAATCAATAAATTTATTACTGTAAATCTGTAAATTTGTAATCAATAAATTTATTACTGTAAATCTGTAAATTTGTAATCAATAAATTTATTACTGTAAATCTGTAAATTTGTAATCAATAAATTTATTACTGTAAATCTGTAAATTTGTAATCAATAAATTTATTACTGTAAATCTGTAAATTTGTAATCAATAAATTTATTACTGTAAATTTATATATGGGTATACAGTGGCGGAGTCAGGAATTTAATGTAGGAGGGGCACCAATTAATTATAATCTTAAAATTTTTATGCGACTTTGTTTTATGGAAGAATAATGTGGTGGTGAAATAGGAGGGGGAGGGAGAGGGGGCTGGGGCTGATCAACATCAAATCCACCAATACAGATGATGTTGCCACAAGTGAGAGAGAGAGAGACAGAGACAGAGAGAGGCCATGGTTGGAGATTGTCTTGCATTGCAAGAGCTGCTTATAAAGGAGGTGCACAAGTAGATATATGGCTATTTTGCAGGGTTCAATTTTTTTCCTTTTTTCTTTTTTTTGTTTGGGAAGGTTCTAGGAGATACTCTTATTTTTTACTTATTATTTTTAAACAAATTATACTGATGTATTTAAATTTGTTACTTTTATTGTTATAGTTTTATAATTTTAATTTATTTGATTTTAAATTTTGTATCAATTGATAATATTATTAATATTTTTAGAAAAATTATCACTGCATTAATTAATGTCAAGTCACTAAATCATCATGTTTATAATTTTATTTTTAAAAAACATGAAATATGCTTTTTATATATGTATTTATCAAAAAAAAAATGTTAACAATTAAAATTATAATATTTTTATTTTTAAATCATAAAAAATATTAATAATTAAAGTCAATTAAAATAATTCAATAATCAAAATATATAAATTGACGTGATAATTTACCCTTTTTTTTTTTTTCAAACCTTTGCAATAATAGGTGTGTGGTTGGATAGTCCACCAGTCTTGAATAAAGCAGATGGCCCATTTGAGAAGGTGGGTTGGGTTGATCAAATCTCGCAAAAGACGGGAATCAAAATGGGCTGGCCTGTCATTTTTTTTTTTTGGGAAGTTATTTAAAAAATCCTAAAATTTGACTTTTATAATAAAAATAACAATTAAAATTTTAATTTTATCAATTGTAATCATAATATTTTTGTTTTTTTCATTCTAAACCATTTGCCTATTTCTATTAAATAAAATTGATAGAAAAAATATTTTAGCCATTAAAATATGAACATCACCATATTCTGGATTATATTCAGACTGTGTTGAGACAAAAATAAAATAAAATTTTAATACATGAGATCAATCAATTATGATATCCATTTTTTTTTTTTTGATGATATGATATCAATTTACATCGTGACTAGGAAGCTTGATTTAAGATATGCTTCAACATATTTCTCAAATTAAAATAAATTGTCCAACTATTGCTCTTATTGTTGAATACAATAGAAACATTGAAAACTTCAAACACCCAAGTCATGACAAACTTGAACCTTTCTCTACCTAAAATTCATGTTGCCCTATATCCAACGCAATCTCAATGGCACAATCATACCTCAAGATTCATACGTTCTAAAGATTCCCACAACGTCTTACAATTGGGAATTGGGAGTGTATTAGGCACAGAAAAATGACGATTATTTTTTTTTTTTGGGATAAATAAGTCATATTATAACCAAAAAAATAAAAATATGAAATATAATAACGATTATTGAGTACAAATGATCCCTCACCTTATGAAAGCTGTGGCATGCCGAAAAAACTAGGGATGGTTGGAGGAGATGGTGTAGCAACTAGAGCTGGAGAATTGCGTCTCGTGTCTTTCAGGAGCTGAGTAAGTTGGCACAGGCATGTTTGGTGGAAGGCTAGGCAAAGGAGCCTCAAAGTCAAGAACTTGAATTGCTTGCTTTATTGAAGGCCTGAGGTTGTAATCTGGATGAGCACACCAAAGCCCAACAAACAACAAGCATTCCATCTGTTCCTCATCAAAATCTCCCAGTTTCGCATCCGTTGCTTCAAGAAGGTTTCCTCTTCCATAGAGCTCCCAAACCCACTCCACCAGCCTCATATGACCTTCTTCAGCCATGAGGTCAATGGGCTTTCTTCCACTAGCAATTTCCAAAGCAACAATGCCAAAGTTGTAGACGTCTGATTCTTTGCTAGACTTGCTTGTCACGAGGCACTCAGGAGCCATGTAGCCCATTGTCCCGGCCAAGACTGTGGTTTGTGACACTCTCCCATGGTCAACAAGCCTGGCTAACCCAAAATCCCCAAGTTTAGCATTGAATTTTGAATCCAACATAATGTTGCTTGATTTAATATCTCTGTGCAACACACACTGTTCCCATTCTTCGTGTAAGTAAAACAATGTAGCGGCCAATCCTTTAGTGATATTGTACCTTGTCAGCCATGTCAAGAAGGTGTTGTCTTTGAACAGATGAGAATCCAAGCTGCCATTGGGCATAAACTCATACACAAGTAAGAGTTCTCTTTCTTCGTGGCACCAACCGAGAAGTTGCACCAAATTTCTATGCCTCAATCGGTTAATGATCTTCACTTCCGAATCATACTCTTTAATACCCTGTTTAGACTCCTTTGACACCCTTTTGACAGCAACATATGAATTCAATTCTTTCAAGAAACCTCTATAAACTCCACCAAATCCGCCCTGTCCGAGCTTCTCTTCCTCCACAAAGTATCTTGTTGCAATGGCCAATTCTTGGTATGAAAACTTCTTAGGTCCTGTTTCGGCTTCAAGAAGCTCATACAAAGCCTTGTATTTATTTTCAACCCTATTCTTTTTCTTCTTCTTCAAGCAAAACCAAAGGAAGCCTAACCCACCGATTAGAACACAAACACCTCCTATAGATCCCACTAGTACCCACCTCTTGTTTATTATTTTTTGATTTTGGTTGGCAAATGCTGGCACTGGCTCCCAATTTGGATCAATTTGTATATTAGAATTGAAGCTCCAAGAGTGAAGAGTGTGCGTCTCGACTATTGTTCCTGTTGCGGCAGAGAAGCCGAAAGTAATCCACTCTGGCAAATACTTGCGTAGATCAACTATATGATAAAGCTCTTGCATGATTGTGGTGTTTTCATCAGGAAAACTGGTGAATGCAACACTCAAATTTCTCGAATTAGAATCGTAACGAATCGAGGCGTGATTCATTTTTCCAGAGGGAATTTGACACCGCCATGTCACATTTTGCACAGATACCAAGGAGTTAATGTTGATACCTACATGCTCAAATGGTGGATCCCATTGATTGTTGATAAATGTGTCGAACTCCACTGCCACGAATTGATTGGTCGGCAATGAGTTGAACGTGGGGTTGAATATTTGTTGACCGCTGACAAAGTTGATGTGGTTAATGTCTCGATTGAAACTTGTGAAGTTGAAAGAGATCTGAGCAGTACAAGGGACTAATAGAAAGAGAAAGAAAAAGAAAAAGAAGAAGAAGAAGATAGTCATTGAAGGAGGAATGGAGCTTTGATTGATCATGGAGATGGGTAACAATGGATTGATTTTGAGGCACATACATTTATCATGTAAATTGTAATGACTCAGTTTGGTTTTCAACTCGGTGGATATTTATTTATTTATTTATTTTGTGTAGTCAAGTCTTTGTGGTCCAATATTGACCAATACAAGAAGAAATTTCTCCCCATTGAATATGTAACGTAACATGTAACATCAAACAAGCAAGGCTGGTGGAGATGTGAGATAAAAGGAGCTAGCCTAGTTGTGTAAAATGACAAAAATAAAACAAAATTAGGAGCAAGGGTGACACCATTTTAGTTTAAAATAAAATAAAATAACCCGCAGATCCTCTAGAGTAGTTTTCCCGCAGTACTTCATGAAGTATTCCCAAGAGGACGAAACAGAACCCAATTGAACTCTTGTGAAATAAAGCCTAAAAAAAAAAAAAAACTTGAGCCCCAATAATAAAATTATCAAAGCAAAGTTTTCAGATACCATTAACCCAAAGGCGTGAGTCTGTGAAACAGAACAAAATTCAAAGCAAAATGAACAAAAATAAGAAAACAAACAGCAACAGTTATCCACCAACAATGTCAAAAAGTAATATAGGCACTATTGGAAGTATAAATAAAGTGTTTTGTTAATAGGTGCCCAAGTATAAATAATGACAAAAAAATTGAAAAAATAAGATATTTTTTTACTAAATTTAATATACTTTTAACATTTTTAAAGAATTTTTAAATATTTTATATATACTTTTCAATATTAAACCATACATCAAAAACACTAGTTAATATTTGCCTAATCACAAAACACACAGCTTAAAAAACCCAAAAATTTAAGTTATTCATTAGTCCGGAATTTCCCGTGGCAGTTGGCTGGACTGATAGGAACGTAATCAGTGACGTGGCGTAGCTAACTAAGAGGAATGGTAGAGACCATTAGAGTTTTGGAACTCTAATGTCAATTCTAGTGATGTGACAAGATATAAAAAATGAAAATGTAATATATCAAAACATCAAATTGTGACTCACCTCTAGAACTCTTCATTTAAGAGTCTCAAGCATTTTTAATCTAACTAAACTTAATCTTGTTTGGTTTCATAATTCAAATTCACTTTTCAAAAAATTAATTTTTTTTTGTATTTTTGTATTTTTATTAAAATTTTAAAATATTTTAAGCATTTTTTTAATTTTTAAATACATCTAACATAAATACACTTAAAAGTATAATATTTGTGAAAAAAACTTTAAAAAATTCAAGAAATACAAAAAAATATACGAAAATTCAATATATTTTTCATATTTTTTGTGTATTTATTAATTTTTTAAAGTATTTTTTTTATAAATGTTTTACTTTTTACATACATCTAAGTAAGGTACATTTAAAAAAGTAAAAAAAAATTACTGAAAATTTTAAAAATATTCACTAAAAATAAAAAAATTCAATTTAAAAAAAATTAAATTCAAAAAATTGAAACCAAATACGATCAATAATTTCTCTAAAATAGGCAATGACAAAATAACCCAAAATTTTCAATCAAAACTCCCTCATATGAAAATCCTAAAATTTCAATTCAATGTATAACTTCCCAAAATATTTTTTTTTATCCTTTTCTTTTTTTTTGGTATAATTGAAATCCCCAAATCAAAGAACCTGGTTGAAGGAGGGAGGGAGAGGTGAGAGATTGTCCTTCATGGTGGCTATTCTTGCTTATCTTTGACCCTTTTTTTTTTGATCTTCCTTAGCTTCTGCATCTGCCGGCGTTCTCTCCGGTGGTCTTCTATCACTCCAGCGTTCTTCCCTCTCTTTGTTTCAGCACTTGTCATTCGTTGGTTCATTTTTTCTGGAGAACATTTTAGTTTTCATAGGGTGGTTTGCCTAATTGGTGACGATTAGAGTCTAGAGATTTGCTCCCTCTTAGGTGTCAGGTTCGAATCCCGTAACTAGCAAATGCATACCTTGGAGCCACAAATTGCAAGGCGTAAACTCTATTTTGAAAGGCTTGTTCGGGCTGTAGAGACTTAATTTGGTGCGTGTAAGCTGGTTCAAGATACCATACATAACAAAAAAAATTACCAATACACCAAGAGATTTGCTTCAAATACAACTTCTTCTTCTTCTTTTCTTTTTTTTCTTTTCATAAGAAAAATTGAATTCTCTATATTGGGATAAACTCTTCTCCATATTTCATATCTTCATACCTCTCTCTCTTTACTTTTATTTTATTTATTTATTTTATTTTTTTATGGGTTTTAATTTGAACTCGCATTGATAATACGGACAGTCTATCTCATAAGTCCTGCAATAAAAGTCATTTATGTAAAAAATTAATTTGATCGGACAACTATAAACATGGTAACAAATTGCATTTTATTTTATAAAATGGATGGTTTAAGTTTAATTATATCTATCGTTCATTTTATTAACAAAATGTAATTTATTCTTGTATTTATAATTATCTGATGAATTTAATTTTTTTAATGGATGACGTTTATTGTGGGAATAGAGTGGGTCTGGATTGAAACCTATGAGAAAAGTACGGAGAGGTATGAAAGGGAGTTTATCCCCTCTATGTTTGTGTAATTATTAATCTATTACATTAAACAAAAATGTTATGAACTCACCCTTATTAATTTATAATTTACTTCGAATGTGTTCGTGTGGTAAAAATTAAATTGATAAAATGTGGGATCAATGAGTAAAATAAATTTGAACCATTGAATTCTATTTATAAGTAATTTTTAGGTTCATAAGTTTGAGTTTGTAATGTTGTTATACATTAAATTACAATTTTTCTATTAATATAACTAATAAAATATAACTTGTATAAAATAAATTATGGCAAGTCAAAACATACGTAAAATATATTATGGTAACTCAAGGTATAATATAACCTACCTTAAAATTAATACCTTACTTTTCCTTTCCACTACCAAAGACTCTTCCGACTTCCATTATTTTTTTTCCTTTTTCTTCACTTACATTTCCCTCATTCCTTTCCTTTCATTCTCTCTTTTTTTTTCCTTTTCTTTTCTTCCAGTTGATCACCTCCTCCCTATTTATGGGGAGGTAAGAACATTAACTATGTGGTTAGCGCTTATCTTTCCTAGATTTGATTCATAAATTATATAAATTTATACTTATCTTTAATAAATATTTAAGATAATTACACATTGACCCAATTTTTTAATATAACTATATAAATAAATTAATCTTTAATTAAATTACATATATCAACAGAAAATTAATTAATTATTTTACTACCATACCCATTATTATTATTATTATTATTATTATTATTATTATTATTATTATTATTTTGTACTCTCACTTTTATATTTATTTATTTACTATCTTTAACTTTAATTTGGCCCACCTAGTATTATAATTCCATATTTCTGTTAATTTGGCCCCAAATAATAATCCATAATTAATCCCATATTTGATAATTCAATACCAAATTAGATTCTGTATTTATTATTATTTATTTAATAATATATTATCACATACAACCATAATGCCAGTATAGAATTTAAGGGACAAATTAAAATTTCGGGTAGTTACATGAGCGTTGTGGATTCAATGTTGGATAAAACAATTCCGAGGTGAAGACGATGGTGAAAGATGTACACCAAGGTCGGTTCAATTCGGGCATAAATTTGTTAACTAATTGAGGGTGCACGTGTAATTCCCTTTTTGTCTTATTAATAGATTGTTTTGTGACTTTGTCTCGTGATTTTTTTTTATCACAATTGGAGGTGCTCTAATTGTGATTTTTCCATGTTAAATCGGTGTGTTGATTTATCTTTAATTGTTTGATTAAGATTGTTATTCGTTATTTAAAATTGAAACATAATCACAAAATAATACCTCTAGAATTTTAGATTTTTCATTAAGCTCTATTATTTTGAAGTCAAAAGAATACTAAAAATTTGAAATATCATATTACTCTTATTTATTTATCTATTTATTTACGTGTCATCTATCTATCTATAATTTTGTTAATGTATCATTTATCTATTTATCAACGTGCCACCTAGTTGTTTACCAAACTTGCCCATTTATTCACATTACCAACTCTCGTCGACAACCACAACCTACTATCGTCCATTTTCAATGATTTTTTCCAGTGACCATTTGGAGGTGGCCCGATGATAGGTTAGCAACAGTGGGATCATTTGGAGGTGGTCCGATGATAGGTTAGCAATACTGGGAGTAAAAAAAAGATATGTATATTTTTAAAATAATAAATTATCATTCTCACCAAATAATTTTATTAATCGTGTATTTATCACCAAAAAAAAAAAACAAATCATTTTAATTAATACCATACACACGCATGCAAAAAATTTGAAAAAGGAGGAGGATTTTTTTTTACAATTTTTAAGAAACAATTTACAAAAAAACAAAAAGTTATTTAGTAAAAATAGAAATCACTTGTAATTGTCATGTGGTATTCTCTATTTTTGGGATAAAAATATAATTTTCATATTTATTTTCACGAAACTAATTTAAATTTTATCAAACAAAAATTTAAAAATAAAAAACAAACAAAACAAATACTATTTTATTTTTTATAAAAATATAATTACTAGGTTTGTTTCCAGTTTTTTGAAAACACTTTTTTTAGAAAATTTAGTTTCTTATTTTTTGTTTTTTGTTTTTGTTTTTTTTTTTTACTGATTTTTTAAATTTTTAGACATATTTAACATAAATATACTTAAAAAGTAAAAAATTTGTGAAAAAAACCATTTAAAAATTCACTAAATACCAAAAATATAAAAATATATATATATGAAAATTCTGTACATTATTTGTATTTTTATGTATTTATTAATTTTTTAAAATATTTTTTCACAAATTTTTTAAATGCATCTAAGTAAAATTCATCTAAAAAAGTAAAAAAAAATATTTTTAAAAATTTAAAAATATTCACTAAAAACAAAAAAAAAATACGAAAAGAAAAAAACTCAATTTTTAAAAAACTT